CCTATCAGGCAGCGACAAGACAGGCTTCGTTCCAACACCGCTCCTTGGGCTTTCTTGAAAGCTTCTCAAACAGGGTGGCCTTGGGACCTGTAGGGAACATGCGGATTGCAGGGGGATTCTGGACGTTTCCATCAGTTCGGACCTGCCCCCTCCCCCCCCACTTTTCAGATATTTTCGAGCATCAGGTTTGGACGCTCCAGGTTCTGAGGCTTTGGCTTTGCAATTCTGGGCTTACAGGCTTCAGCGCGCTTATGCCGATGACTGTAGATCCTACACAGTTCTTCATAGGGGACGGGGCCATCACATAAAGCCTGCCGACTATCTCTTCGGGGTAGGATCCTTCGCAACCCTGGGATATTAGGGTCCTTATCTGGTACGACCCTCAGCAGTAATTATTGGTTTTCAGGGTTTTCAGAAGCTCCAGTCTCGAGAGCAACCGAATCTAATGATTTCCCAGACATGAGCACTCGAATCCTTTTGAGTAGGACGCCCGAAGTATGGGACCCCGATCTTCCGGAAACCTAACAATCCTAAATCCAGATCCCGAAACCCTAATCCCGAATCCCTAAACTCCAATCCCTTAGCCCGCAGCATCCCCGCATACCCCTATCCCTATGCACCCCTATATAATATGTATATATACACATACATATGAATATATCTAAATATGTCCCTATATTCCCGTACACCCATATAATCCCCTATATCCCCTATATGTCCCTAAGCAATTAATCCTATACACTGTATATCCTTTGAATGAAAGGCTCCACGTCCCAGGCCTATAATACCCGAGAAATCCCTATGTACCGATATATAAAACCCCATAGATCCCTCCCCAAACCCTAAACCCTAAACTAGACGTAACAGTCCCAATGTTTTTGTACAACTAGACTAAACTCCTAAACTAATTACAAGCGGTAAAGCACTCTTTGCTGCCTAGATGCCTGGGCAGTGGAGAGAAGGTCCGACAAACCAAGCTATGTGTAGTCCCCCTTCAGTACATAGAATATGGGGTATATGGGGATCTTATTATAATATACGCAGAGCCTTATTCTATCTACTTTAGGGGGACTATACACCTTAAATCCCCTGAAAGTTCACACGTCCCAGGCCTTGGCGGAGTCTGGCGAAGTCTGCAGCCCTAGCAGCGGCCGCCACAGATGCCTTCATCATCGGTGCCTTGGGGGTTTCCCCCAAAAAATAGGGGTACCTTTTTAGGGTTTAGGGTTTAGGGTTTGGGATTATATAGGGGATTTGCGGGGTTTAGAGGGATTTGAGTTTCGCAAAATTAGGGGTACGTTTTTGCGGCCCCCCGTAATCAGGATTATAGTATTATGGGGGTCTTTGTTAGGGCCCCCCTCTTTATGGAAACTGCCACTTAGACTGGCAGCTCAGCTTGAAGGACAGTGGACCGGGCAGTCTAGGGTTGTCGGGGGATAGGGCTTGAGACTTGTCAGGCTTGGGACTTGGGCGGCTACGGTTTTGAACGCAGTCCGTGCTCCCAGAAAAAGGAACTGACCTTGATTTTTTGGCAGTCTTGTTCTGGATTTCGGGATTGTAGATGCTGGAAAATTGACGCGCGGGCGATGGTTCAACTTGTGGTGAAGTGCCGGCAGTCCAGGGTTGCTCAAAACGATGCTGTGCTTGGGTGTGAAGGGCCGGCCATGCAAGGAGTACTAACTTACATACTATTACTATTACAACACCAGTACTATTAGTATAATTACTATTATTATTATCATTGTCAGTACTAGCATTACTATTATTACTATTATCATGACAGGTATTGAAGCCAAGAGTCTCGACTGCATGCTAAATACTTTGTACCCACCTTTCCTAGTGTATCCTAAAGTTCTTGACCTCAAGCTGAGTCCTTTCCTATGCCTGGAGCTGCAAAGCTAGGTCGGGTAAAAAGACCAAATTATAACCAGGCAACATCCTAAAGAGTCTCCTACAATCACATATAGAACAATATCTTGTTCCCAATATAGGTGATTAAGAACGAATGTCATACGCTTTACCGGAACAGCACGCGGCGAGTCGTGCATTCCGTTCCCCTAGCAGGAAAGTTTGTTTTGGCCGCGCTGTAGGGATCCATGAGGCCTCACGCTTGGAGAAAAAGCGATTCCACAGGTTTTTCTTTTCTCTTGCCTGGGAGCTGTGATACACGCCATCATAGAGTCACAGGCTCCTGTATTCGAACCCTTCCACAAAGTTCAGAACCCCAAGGGAAACAGGCACTACACGCGGGTTGCTTTTGAGTAACTTATGAAGTTACCATAATAAGGAAACACCATAATTTATTATACACCCATGATATGGTAGCTTAAAGTAAGTTCCTTGACAGCAACAAAGTAAATCTGCAACCCTAAAAGCCCAAACCCACGATTGGGCCGACAGGCATGCTTGATCGGGCCAGGCTGCTTGGCTTTTAGGCATGTTAGGAATTGGGCTAAAAGGGCTTAGGTTTTTTTTGGATATATAGGGATCATGGAAAATGAACGGAAACTACTATTTAGGGTTTAAAATGAGCGGAAACTAATGTTTAGGGTTTAGGGATTGGGAGGTTTGGTAAAGGTTTGTGCGTGTGTCTTGGTGATCTTTGTTTGATCGATGGGGGTTGCATGCCTGCATAGTAGTCAAGTCCCCAACCCTTCGAGAAGGGCGAGGTTCCGACCGGTTTGGAACTTGTTGCCAGGTTCTGGCCTGTTTCGTTTTGGTCTATGTCTGAAAACTGGAACAGAACGTAATCAGAATCGGATGTTTGCTCATCAGTGATCCCGCGCAGGAACAGGGGGCAAAAGTTTTGTTTGCAACCAGAGGGTGGAAGTGAAGGATGCGGGCATTTCCAGAAGAGAGATGGCCTTCTTTCAAATCCTGATGATTTTGGTTCTCGGGCTTGGCGGGCAACAGAAGCTTCTTGAAGGCCCCTTGCAGCTTGCAAGTGAGCGCCGGCCATGCCCAAATGCTGAGTAATTTTGCTTGAGCAGCTGAGGTACCGATTCTGGCTGGAGTGTCTTGGGCAGAAGAGTTGCGGATCCCTACGGGAGGGGTGGTTCTTGCGGTTATTGCATGTCTCAAAGTTCCTGAAATCTTTGCACAATTGAAATCCTATTTTCGCAGCGGCCTGCAGTTCCCGTACCACCTCGTATGCATGAACAATCAACTAAACATCCTAAACTCAGGCGCATTTGTTTTTAAGGAAACAGGCTGCCAAAGGGATGTATCCTTGGTTCCCCTACTGGTGCGCCCAGTTACTACCCCCAGTTCCGCCTCCCGGAGCCTGAAAAGGCCCTAATTATCCTTAAGTCCAAGTAAGGGGGAACCTCCGAAACGTAGAGCGTTCGCCGTAATGTCGAATCCCAATTTGTGACTGCAAGGGTTCTGAATTGTGTGAGGTTTAGGCGAATTTGTTCAGCACCTGCTGGTTCTTTGAGGGTGCTGATTTGTGCGAAGTTCCGCGGCAACATTTCTCCCATAGCCTAAACTTGAGGTTCCTTCAGGTGAGGCGTTATGCGAGCCGATCCCTTCTCTTGAACTTAAAGTAGTAGGATCCAAATTTGTCGGGGGGCCACCCCATCCCGCATAATTACGCACCAATGGTGTGCGGGGGGGGGGTTCAATTTATCTTAATCAGGATCCAAGAGTGTTCATCCCAAATTTAGAGCCATGAAAGATTCAGAGTTTACAGCAAAGATGACGAGGAAAGGATCAGAATAATGGTGAGGCTCACAGAAGAAGTTGTGCATGTGTGTTGAAGCTATGTACCCTCCCTCCCCCCCCCCCTCCGGGAATCTGTAAAACCTGAGCCTTTCGCCCTCCGCACGGAACCATGGAACCCTGCAGTTTATAGACTTTGTGCAGGTTCTACTGGCCGAACTCCTTCTGTGTAGCTATGACCAGGGAAGCCAAATTTTCAAATTTCCTGTTTTTAAGTATTGCCCCCGACAACCTGTAAAGCTTTCAGATCCAAAGACCGCACACCAGGACAACCTTGTATTCATGGGCCCCCCCTACTACCACCAGCGATACTCCACCCTACATTCCCCGTTAACTGACCTTAACTAGGCCTAGGTGACCCGAGATGTCCAAATAGCCCCACGGTCTCTGAAAAGCTTTTTGACAAAGGTTTCTGAATCTTCGCATGGGCGTCTCTCGGTCCTGCCTGGAGGGGCACATGCGCTTTTATAAAGCTTGTTCCGTAGTTTCCCTACTTTTTGTTACCTAGGCATGACGGAATGGATCCTTATAGTAGTCCCTGTATAACCCATTATAGAAGTTTCCAGTTTCTTTTGGGTTCCTTCATTCCCAGCTAACCAAAGGTAAGTTTTGGGTGGACTTGTGGAATGATTTGCTTCGCATGTTGTGCTTGTTGCCACGCGGGGGGCTTTGTGTTCCTTGGGAGTCATTTTTTGCATCCGATGTTCAATGCTTATTCTTGGGGTGGGTGTACAGTTGCAGCTTACCACTTTGATCACGGTTCCAGTGTGGTATCATAGGCGATGGTTTTGTCGTGTTTTACCCTCTTCCTGTCTTGTAAACATGCCATGCTTTGGTTGCCTATGCTCCTTTCTTCCAAGCGCTCCTTATGAAAGAGGCGCGCTGGCTATGTGGTAGCCTCCAGTTACGTATGAGATCCTGCCCATAGTTGAGAGTTCCCAAATTGGGGGGTCCTTTCTATCATGGCTGTAATATGTTGACATCTCACCAAGCCAACGCCTTGGACCAGCCTAGAGTCCTCTTAAGTAGCTAGAATTTGTGGAAGGGTATATGGGGCTCTTCTCGTGAGAATCCTGCAACCCCAAACCTTAAGCCCTATAATCCCTGCATCCTATTAACCTTATTCCCCTCCACCTAATATCAAACTCCCCCACCCCCCTAACATTAAACACTCCAATTATGTGGTATACTATAGTATTTAATGTTAGGGGGGGGGGGGGGTGGGGGTTTAATACTAGGGGGAGGGGATTAATCCTGTAAGGGGGACTAGAAACCTCGAGGATTACATTCTCTTTGAGCACCGGCCCCTGAAGTTGGTGGCGAAAATCAGCCGCTGGAGGTTGGCCCTCTTGATGAGGGGATTTATATGAGTTATAGTCTTAACTCCTGAAACGGAGCTACCTAGCGGATTATACAGGGGAGCATTATAGGGGTTACGCGGGATACTAGGAGTTTAGACTATAGCTGACATGGTTTAGGGTTTGGGGTTTAGGTTGGAGGGTTTAGGTTTAAGGATGTGTGGTTGAGGGTTTAGGGTTCTACCAACCACCGGCTCCCCCCCCGCCCCATGCTATACCCCCTTTTCTACCGTAAATGATTTTGATTAAGCCGAAGCAAGATTAATTCCGATGTAATTAACTTTGGAGTAGTATAGAGGAGGGGTGTTAAGGTAAACTATAGTGACCAATCTCTCCTACGGCGTGGCTTCCAAGTTTGGCAGCTTCTGGTTGTATCCACGATTAACATAGGTTGATGGAATTTGTTGCGTGTCTTGTAAAGTAGCTATGACATGACTTACCAGGGTTGTGCATGTGTTCTCGCATGCGAACTTTTTACAGTTCATGCCTTGCATGTTGATTGGGTCTTACACCATGCACAAAACTAAACCTATTATAACTAGGTCAGAAGTCCTGCGCAGGGCACCAGCCAAACTCCATGTCGGGCTATCCAGAAACAGGGATACACCTACGTACCTCCAAACTACTCATCCCTCAAAACCTTTCTGATAACTAGGGGCCTTCCAAGAGAGGAACCCAAATTCTTGGTAGCCCACCACTATGCAACTAGACCTAGCATCAGAAGACCCTAGGCTTGACATCAAGAGCTTTGACCAGGCAGCGCCAAAGACCATGAAAGAGGGACACTCTCATACCTGCCAAAGAAAGGATAAGATAGAATCCCTAATTTGAATACATTTTGCAAAAGAAGTTCTAGCACTTGAGCTGAAAAAGCTCCCAGCCCTGGAAACCTCAACCACCTTCAAATCCTTGATGCGTTAAACCCCAAACTCAACTAATCCCTAGAAAATATTCAAATACAATCTCTCCTGAGTCCTCGTATGTTGCTCAAACCATCCCGTGAACATGGCCTCATAGAATCGCGGTTTAAGGGTTTAGGGTTTGGGGTTTAGTATTTCCGAGATTGGGGATTTCAAAAGTCAAGGGTCACTTTGTAGTTAGTAAATGAGGCTCTATATCTGGACCCCCTGTTTATGGAAACTACCTTTGGAAGACCCCCCACCCTGTAATAGTGGTTTAGTAGGAATACAAGAGGACCCTAATGTAACCCTTGTTATCGCTTCTAGTCACTATTACTGGGGGGGGGTCCACCTACCTAACCCCTAAACCCTAAACCGCCTTAACCACACCTTTTCTGGAAGCCTCCTTGCAGGTCTCTGTCTGACAAGCCATTCTTCCTGTATGGCGCGATACCCATCATCCTGCAGACGTTTGCCCTGGCTGCTTGGCTTAGGGTCTACAGATTTTAGGGTTTAGGTTCAGGGTCACTTAGTTTACCCAAACACTCTATTTCTGTCGTTGGCCTGATTCTGTCTACTGGGCTGTCAAAAACACATCTTCGGGACTCTCCAGTACAGGAGGCCCAACCTTGAAAAATATCACACCTGTCCATCCTTGCTTGTTGCTGTTGGCATGCTTCTATCATCATCACTCTGGCTCTTCTTGCGTGCTACTGCTGCTAGCAGTTCCTAGACTAAAGTAGTTTCCATTTTATTTTCCATTGTCCCTATATAACCCCAATATACTATAGTAGTTTCGATTTTATTTTCCATTGTCCCTATATTATCCCAATATTACCAGTATTCCTGGCGAAGGGGGGTGGGCTTGCCTGATTCGAAGGTTGCTGCCATGACAAGCTTCGTTCTTGCCATGGAGGGCCCTCAGTGGTGCTATCAGTCTGAGCTGTGGTACCTGGTGCCTCGGTTTGCATCAAAAGTTCTGTTTTCAGGATATAGTATGTTAAGATTTTTCAGTTGCCAGACACACCTATCACCACAGCTGCCGCTTTGACCATAGACATGAAGTGCCTTTCCATCGACGGTTGAAACGTCGAGGCGAGTGCGTGAGGATGCTGAGTTAGGACGCATAATTGCAGAGCTCCTGCTGTAGAGGCTGTTTTCCGATTTGCAATAGCGGAGTCACATCAGCCAAGCGAAGTTTCCCGGTTTTCTACAGAGCTGTATTCTTACATGTGTTTGTCGCCAACAATAGCCTTAAGGGCGCAACTTTTTAAAATTCATGTACTTCCCCGAATCCTGTACTACAACCACTACTATAGGCCAAATCAAAGTACACAGTTATTTAGCCCTTAGACCCTTAGGGTGACTGAGGTGTGGGGTATCATCATCGCTTTTTCGGTGACACTGAGCTTCTTCGCGGGCAGCTCTCTGCTGGCCAGATAGGGGTTTCCCAAACTTACGGGTATAAATGCAATATCTTGGAGTCAGTATGGGATCCCCCGATGTGTGGAAACTACCAGGTAGGGTTTGGGGGCTTTGCGTTTCTGATTTGAGCGGGTTTGCTGTACTTTCCAGTTAGTTTCTGAGCAACATAGATATGCATAGCGCAGGCTTGGGATGTGTAACATTCTGAAACTATATGCCTCGATGACAGAAACCAGCTCTAGATTTGATACTCTAACCCGTATTACCTTGCCACGAGTGCCAGAGACCGAAGCCTCTTCTGGTTTCTTGCATGCATGCCCTTACTACACGCCCATGTCTGGCAGGGTTTTCGGCATGGCCTCAGGTGAGTGTTTATATAGGAGTTGTCCACTGTCCGTTTTTATGGGGGGGGGTTAGAGCAAACAAGTTGAACACACAAGTTGAATTCTAACCGCATGTCAGGCTGTTATTGGCTTTGTCAGGCTGTTATTGGCCTTGGGCAGTCCTGCGGGAAACTCCGAGAGAGAGAGGTGGCGCTGTGAAAGTGAGTCGGGTCCAGTTGTCCTGTGTGTGCAGGAGATTTTCCTTCACTCCCCTGCCATCCGACACCTGCACATGGCAGCTGGGCGTGACAAGGGTGAGCTTGCTGTCCCAAGGATCATGTAGGGGGGGTTGATTACTCAACCCCTTCCCCCAATCAAGTAAAGGACTTGAAGAGTCCGAGGACCCTCAATCACGTTTCGGCAAACGTGTTTGGGGCGGGGTTCTCAGGCCCTGTCAATTCTACATCCTTCTGGCGAGCCAAAGCGCGGTGAACCGCAAGCTGAGTTGCCCCTGCTAAGCTGAGGCCCTCCGGTACTACCATACGGCAGAGAAGGCATTCCGCAATCAGAACGCCTCCCTGCAGTATACAGCTCTTGAAGGATTTTGGGCAAGTGTGGGTAGTGGGGACCACATGTGCGAGGAGTGTCGATGTAGGGAGCGGCTTGTAGGTCTTTGGGTGTCCTACTGTTCTGGGAACCAAGGGTGCTTTGGCTGTTGCATGCGCCCTGCAAGCTCACCATGTACGTACGACACTGCGAGCACTGCGAAGGAGACTAAAGAATTTGCGAGCACAGCACAATTTATCAGAACTCCTATGCTAAGAATGACTTGAACACTATGTAAAGACTGCTTGGCCTCGAGCATGATAGTCCAGTCTAAGGCCTGGGATTAGAGGCTTGTATTTCATACGTCGCCAAAACGATACCATTGGAACAATGCCCCCAATAGCTCCTTTAGAGTTGTTTGGCAACCAGAAGAATTTGTGAAGCATTTTAAGTTCTAAGTAATTAAGCCTATTGAATCATCATTTCTTGCAGGCGCCAAGCCTGATCTACGTGACCGATGGCGGCGTGCAGGAATCCGATTTAGAGCAGCCCCGTCATACTGATATTAAATGCCCTTCACCCCCTAGTATTAAAGATTCCCGAATAAGACAACTTCCGTGCGAAAACTAGGGGCGGGGGGTATGTCGTCCTAGTATGGGGGTACATGGTACTGTCCACTGAGTTGGTAGAAGAGAAGGCAGATCTGTTCTGACGGGCGAGCCTTCCCATGAACATACCCTGTGTGGCATTAAGTAGGAAGAGATGCGTTGTCATGTGGGAGATGTGCTCTGCAAAGTGGTATCCACTTAGCAGCCTATGACCCGCACAGCTTCAAATCCTGCACCATAATCCTAAGCTAAAGCCTGGAACCTCAAACCCTACCCCCTGAAGCCTACACCCTCAACCCCCAGACCTTCTTCAAGTCAAGGACTGCACTGGCCTCTTGCAGCTCCTGCGCCGGCGAAGCGCTTGTTTCCCAGATCTGCTTTTCCTCCTGCTCCTGTCCCCTATGAAGGTAGGTTGGGATTACCAAAGGCATATATAGGGGCGTTTAGGAATTAGGTTAGGGGGTCATTACCCCATTACTGTATAACCAATTGGAAAATGAGATGTAAGCTAGCGTGATACAGGGTGTATATGCGCATAGGAATTAGCCCCCGTAGCAGTCAGCACCACCACCCCCTAACAATAAATACATCCTTTTCGTACGACAGTAGAACCTGGAAAGTGTTTTTTTTGTGAGAGGAAGGGGGCTACTGTCCCACGTGCTCCTCGTATCTCCCTTCCACAACAAGACTTAAAGATCCTAACGAAAATTATGCCAAATAGAAGAATAGTGGGCTGGGGGGATATATGTTTGGTTTCATACTTGCGGGTCTGCATGGGCGCTTGGTTAGGGTTTGGTGGTTTAGCATTTGGAGCCGGGGGCTTCGAGACGAATATTTGTGTGGATCATGTTGCATGGCTTAGACCTCCTGCTGTCACAGTATTTGTCGAACATTGAGACTTCTGACATTTGTGATCTGTAACCACTTCCAAAAATACTAAGCCCGCCCCGCTGCTAATGAATACTCCTTCCAGTATGTAATGGTACTATAATGGGAGTATTTGGTATTGGGGAGGTAAGGGTGTTGATTATTAGCAGGGGCAAAATTAGCCCATGCGTCGGATAATCCGCAGGTCAACCTAGGAAACAACACGTGTTGTTCTCTCTGTTTCTCCCAGGTGTTTGTGCTGCGACTATAATCAAACCCGGCAGCCAGCATTCTAGTGCTCCATACACAAGCTGTAGCAGGTTTCGGAGCAGCGAAATTTCTCGACATTCTGCCCCAAGGGTGTTCGCGGGTAGAATCAGAAGATTTCCCCATCTGCAGAGTATCGCTCCGTTCTGGGCGCCTAGCTGGTAGTTTTTGCTTCATCCTTCCCCCCTGCTGGGTAAAGCCTGTCCCTTGACACGCCCTGTCCTGTTGGCAAACCCGTGGCCAGTATCTTCCCGATTTGTGTAATTGTAAGTCAGGGCAAAATCTCTGTAGCAGATGTTGAAAGCCTAAGGGCCACTCCGTTCAGCTGCACCACCCAGGCCAGGATATTGCTGGCACTTGCAGCATCGGATCCTGACGATGAGCTGTCCGTACTGAGGCTGGCAGCTGTGGATACGAATTACAAGAGGATGATGAGCACTGATTGGCAGACCTTTCCATGAATGACATCATGCAGACTGTTGCGATCAAGATGTTGAGCTTCTCAGGGAAAACTTGGAACATGTTTCAAGGGCCAATGCGTGGATCGAAGTCGAAAGTCGAGTCACGGAGCGCAAGCTCTTTCGTTTCTTGATATCCTCCAGACAGCATAGTCCCCATTTCAGCAGTAACATTCACTTTGAAAGTTGGGTGCCCATCGCACATTCCCCGTAGACCGCGCGTTGTCTGAGCTGTTTGCCACCAATTATAAGCGGTACCACCGCCCCTCATCTTCCCCAGTTTGTCTCAAATCGTGCTACTCACAAACTCCCAATACGGGGCTTGCCTAGGATCGGGACATGTACTGTGGCTGGTGTGAGATTTGGCTCTTGTGCATCCTATCGGGACTAGGGCTTCGGGACTTCGGGCATGGGATCTGTCAAACATGCCGATGTTGGCCTATAACCCTAAACCCTAGAAATACAGGCAACCCCAAGGGTAACAAAAATAGTCTGAGCAATGGCCTTCTTGGGTCAAAACCCTTGGTATCAAAATATTGTGGGACTGGTCAATCCCTTACTACTGGTTAGCCCCCTTAAGTAGATAGCTATAGGGTTTTGGGTCTAGGGTCCCCCTCAAGAAACATAGAGTATAGGGTCTAGGGTTTAGGGTCCCCCTTAAGTAGGTAGAATATGGCTTAATTAGGGTATACTACAAGAAGAACCCCCTATACCCCATATTCTATCTACGTCAGGGAGACCATATGTCAGGGGGAGCCACGCAGGCTTTGCTAGCTAGATCCTCTCTGTGATCATCAAGGGGCCCCAATGCCTACCCCTGACTACAATTTCACCCTGACACCAGGGAGACCATGCAGCTGGCTGTATCGCAGGGTTATGCGTCTGCAGCCCAGCCAGTTGATGATGCTAAAGCGATGTATTTTGCTCAGAAATCATCACTCCTTGCTGGGCTGCTTTCCTGTGAGGCATTCGCGTGTAAATCCTTCCTTACTGAGCAAGGGGAATTGAGGGAATCCCCTTGTCATTACTTTCTGCCCAGTTTGCGTGACCAGGCCACGTACTGCAACAGACGTCTAAATTCAAAAGCCCGAAATCTAATCCCTCAGAATTTTCTGACCTTTCATGGGCGGCCAGATATTGTCGGCATGACGTATCATGACGTTACCTTGGGTCTTGAGCCCTGAGACCGTGGTTAGCTGCAGGTTAGGGATGAGAGTATGACAGCAACACGTGGCAACACTCAATGGTACCGATACACATGACAGATGTACCCGGACTTGCAATCAGAACACTCTACACCAAAACAATGGTGGTGCTTCCCTTGGCTCCATTCCTAAACACCTATATAATATAGTAGTTTCCATGTTCTTTTGCATTATCCCAATTTAACCCGTATAATTCCTAATATAATCCCCAATTTGACCCCAATAGAATCCCTATTTTTGCAACTGTCAGCTTGATAGTTGTGACCGAGGTCCTTTTACGACCCGCGTGATCCGCGACGAGATGCCAAATTTGCCCGTGTCCTAGATATGTTTGCCTCGGCGGGGGCACTAACAGGATGCAACATAATATAAAGAGAATTTTTAGACATTGAGTCAGGAAGTTTGTGAGAAAGCTGCTAACATGTGAATGTGACTGTTCCTCCCCGTAGAAGTACAACGTCCTAGCAGTTTGTCGGACTCTTGCTTTTTACTGCCAAGCGTGCTCATGAAGCGCCACCTTACGTCATGCTTATAAAGTCTTAAACACCCTAATCCCTAAAGCCCTAAACCGTCAACCTAAACCTCATCAAGTGTTGATTCAAGGTCCTGGACGATTTCAAGGCATCGAAGGCGGCCAAGAGGGATCAAGACTACCAGAAGCACTTCGTCCCAGCCTCGGCTAAAGACCTCTCAGGTAGTATACTATAGTACACTAAAGTATATTATTGAATAACATCGTATGTCGTAGTATATTGTAGTAATTAACCTGGGCACACTTTCAGCTACTCTTATAACATCAATGAAGGAACATTGCCCCTCGACTCGCAGCAGCATTTTCCAGTGCTTAGCGATGCCAAGCTTGATGCAGGAATGGTCCTACCTAAGCCTTAAAAGTAAAAAGAGTAAAGACTTGTTGGGCTATTTTTAGGGGTTTGGGGTTATTATTTTACCTGCCTTGGGGTTCCAGGCACCGCCAATGTAAACAGAATGTGGAAAATTTGGGAATAGGCAGACTTTTCTTTCGCTCCCGGGCGAAGTATCTTGTCCTGCAAAGAAGATGAGAGCCTGAATTGCTGCCAACATATTAAGCACAAGTTTTATCAATACCCCCCAGCGCGCTTGCGTGTTTGTTGAGGCTGCTACTTTAGACCAACTGATCAGGCGCTGGGGCCAGCACACATCTTTGTTGTGCTTGCACAAGAATAAAAGAGATGGAGGGCTTTCCAAGGCGACGACAGCGTTTGGGAATGCGTCGGCATAGACTCGACAAATATTGAATGGTGAATTAGGCGATAGGCGCATGAAGAATGAAGAGACTTCGCGCTGCTCAACATGTTTTAGGCCCTGCCGCGAGTCTGAACATTTCTCAAGTTGAAATCATTGATAGATTCTCCGAATAGCGGGACCCCAATGTAATGCAAACGTAGACCCCACCATGCTACAATCCTTGTTGCAGGGCCCCCATAGGTACCCCTGACTTTGGAACTCCTGGCCGGCAAAAGTCCGAATGGCAATGGGGCCCTTAGTGGCATGAGAAGGCATTCAGGAGCTGGCCCCTCAGAAACCAACCCCAGTTTGAATCTTCCATGCAACGGAGGTGTCAGGGCTTTCGGAAGAGTTACAGTATACATAGCTCAGAATGTATCACTGCGGAGAAAACATGTTTTGGTGTCAACGCTTTGGAAGGCCAACCTTCCGTGCGTAGTGCGAGTCATCTTGTGTTGTCGCTAAGGTTTTGGGCATCCGCATCTGGGCGGAAATTTGGCTTTGTGACTCCGAGATGGCTGCACGCAAGAGATCCTAGAAGGAGTAAAGCCTTCTTTTGGAGTCTTTTTGTGGTTTCCACAAAATAGGGCCCCCCTAAATGCGAGAGTCCTTATATTCCCAACTGCAATCTTGGGGCTGGTCGAGCAGTTTGGAGCATTTTGAATTAGGCTATCCGCGAATTAAAGACCTGGCCAATGATTTCCCGTGCCAGCTTCAACATGTAAATTTGCATGCTATACTCACTTGGATGATCTGCGGTCAATCGAGCTTGTTGGAGTGTCGGCCGCAGGTACCATTACTTGGGCTTTTGAGGCCCTACCACTGCACCATCATTCAAAGGCTAGCTTGTTACAAGGGATCCTATTCCAAGACCCTCCAGGTAATTACCCTCAATTGGGGTTATCTAGGGCCCCTTCTTCATAGGCAGGATTTCGGCACGCGCCGAGGAGTCAGAGACGGTGTTGAAGGTCTGGCAATGTGCACATTCAGGGCAAATGATATCTTGAGAGTGAAAGGATATGGGACGTGGGGGCTTGATGTCAATGATGAGGTCTCTGTTTTTTTCCATGAATGAAGGTGCGGATGTCCTTGTCCCTGCAGTGCCCGGGGCGATTAAAGTTCCGTCTCAGCGTGCAAGTCTCTTGAACAACCCTCAGTAACAGGATACTTAGTACAAAATGAAGAAGAGGGCCAGTTGCAAAGGGTTCCCTGCTTTTGAGCCGCCCTGCTGGAAGCACCTTGGCAACTCGTCTGAATCTGTGCCGATGTCGAGGCTATCCTCCACTGCCTCCCCACGAGGAGTATGGTGCAAAGATCACCGGCCGCGCTTTCCTCAGATTCATCCTTCCAGAAGTTGCAAGACCTTCCTGGTACCTCAACAACACGCATGACTGATGCAAGGGCGGTGGTGGTAGGGCGTTGCACTATGCATATGGGCAGGGGCATAGGACAAAGCGAAGCAATCCCAACTCCAGCTGGTTTGCACGCTTCCTGTTTCAACCAACGATCCTTAGTTAGGTGCGCAAGAAGTACTACAGTTTTTGCCCCAAGGCACGTAGACCCTGGAGCGGACACACAGACAACAATAGCTTCATATGATGCATGTAAAGGGTAGTAGATATTGTTTGCATTCTTTTATCATTGTTCTCAGCAGTGGTGGTCACTTGTATCCGTTGGCCCAGGCCGTTGGTAAGTAGTTCTGATTCCGTATACACATGCGTTGAACCCCGAAGCCTTAATAAAGCCCTTCATGCTTGCATTTAATCCGTGCTTACTTCCCTAGCTCCCTACTTACACTTTGTCCCTCTCTTTGAGGCCTGGTAGTGGTCAAAAATCGTCTGCCGCCGTCCCTGGAGTTTCCTCCGGAGCCGCTGCTTACCGAGGAGGCAGACCTGCGATGATGCTGCGGTAGCATCTCCTCATGTGTTTCTATAGTTTTCTCTGTCAAGTTAATACAGTGCGCAGCTTGAAGTTGATGGCAGCTGGTGCCCAAAATATCTATTGAAAAAATCATTCTGGCCAAGATCGCTGGAGGGGCCTGACAGTAATTTGCTGGCATTTACACACTCAGAGTACTGTTCATTCGGGGAAGTCAGCAGGGCGTAGCTTTTGCACAGGAGATTTTCGTGCGCCGGAGAAGTGACGAGCCTGATTCGCCGCGGTGGAAGGACCTTCCAGACCGAAAGGGTCCATTTGGCTATATAGTATACATAATGTATACTTAGGCCCTGGAGGGGTTTCCATATAAACTATAGTCTAAACTCCTCAAAGGGGGGGGGTATATAGGGGACTATATAGGGGACTACTATAAGGGTTACTAAGGGGGATACTAGGAGTTTAGACAATGGCTCATATAATTACTTTAAGGCCCAAGTATATATTATATTGCTAAATCGACCCTTTGGGAGAGGGATCTACCGAGTCAATCCTCGATAGGTCTATGTGGAGGAGGATACAAAGCAGCAGACAATGGCGATGAAGAGCTCATCTAGGGCATTTGAATGTTGACAGATGAATTTCAAGGGCCGTGGTATTGGGTATGGGAGATGTGTGTTGCTCAAAGTGGGATGTAGGGCATGTAGAAGCAGGCTTGCCTAGAGCTTGCGCATGCAGGACAATATGCGGGGTTGCAAAAAATTTGGGGGGGGGGGGTACCTTTCTTTGTGGTCCCCATGATAAGGATCATAGGGTTTGGGGGGGTCTATATTGGGTCCCCTCATTTTGGGAAACTACAATATCAGGACTTCACGTGCCGCATCAGAGTTAGAAAGGAGCCACAAAACAATTGCCACTTGCCAGTGAGGCCTGGACCGGCCTATCAACACTATATGACCCATATAGAATCCATACAACCTCTCAAGACGCCTACTTGTATAGAACCCCTACATGTTTGGAATCGCTTTGGGTTAAAGATGCAGGGTTCTGTGGGCTTACCGTGTCCACATATATGGTGTTGGCCGTTCAGGCTTTTAGGCCTATGAGGTTTAGGAAGCCCTGGGGTTCAATCCGAGCGGAACCTCCCCTGATCCAAGAAATCCTGGCGCACAGCACTTGTATACAGTCGCGACCACCCAAAACTTCTACTGCCGACAAGGCAGCTTCATCAGGACATCTCAGTTTCCATTTCATGTGCATTTTTGTTTTCATGTGATTCTCCCGTTATTCATATATACAGCTACACAGGGGAAATATAGGGGTCAATTGCCCTAAACCCCTAAACTATATGGGGATAATAGAGGGATCGTCCATCATTCATTAACCCCAAAGACTAAACCCCTCAACTATATGATATAATGGGGTAATGTAGGGATCATTAACCCTAAGCCCTACCCCTAAACTATGTAGAGGGGCTGTATGGGGGTCATTAAACCCTAAACCCTGAACTCTACACTATATAGGAGGTTACCCAAAGCCCTAAACCCTAAAGGATACAATGGGGTTATATAGAGATCATTAACCCTAAGCCCCAAACCCCTACGCCATACAGGGGGTTATATGGGGATCATTTACCCTAAACCCTATACACCTTCAGCCTCTAAACTAGGGGGTTATATGGGGATCATTAGTCGTGCGCGCTTTTGGGATCTCAGGGTGCTGTGGCTCGGGGGTGGCTGTAACGAAAGCAGTGGTTTTCCTGGCATGGCCCCAGAAGTAGGTAAACTAAAGGCCCCAAACGCTTAAAGATAGCCTGAAAGGCCATTATTCTACATACTTTCGGGGTTTAGGTGTAGACTTTAAAAAATGCCTGACAGGCCGTGATTCTACATAATTTTGGTGTTTAGGTGTATACCTTTAATAGTCAATCCCGAATCCTGGGTCTAAGCCTTCACGAAACCAAGCCCAAAACATAAAATCGCAACCCACCCCAAACACATGATGGACTTCAACTGCTGGGAGGATTCTGGTCTCTTGCAATCTGATCTTGCCGGATGCTGCTGCCATTGGCCTCATGTGAGCCGTTGCACTTCCCCACAGCAAAATGGAATCCCGCAAAGGGGCCTAAACCCTAAACCCCAAATGATTACTCTCCATTTCCATGGCCTCGGGTTGCCTGATGTTGCGGTTTGTTCGGGGAAGGTCTCATCACCCGGAGCTCTACACAGTCCATACAGATCCCGACTTAATTCGAGACTCGGTTTAGGATTTAGGGTTTAGGCAGCCTCTTAGTCAGCGTCGGCGATGGTGGTTTGACATTTATCTCTTTCTGGGACATGCGTACCAGCAGCATTCGGCAGGGCACCCCTGGGAAAAAAACGACCTAGTCACATCGTTAGTTGCAATACATGGGTTTATCCGAACTCTAACTTAATTTCGTAAGCCCCATGCAGACCTGTCACGAAGTTCTGCAGACATCGAGACATCGTATACCGATACGCCTAACGTCTTGTACGTTGATCCATTGAAAAGCGCCTTCTAATTCTTGCCACCCGAAGTAGAAATACGCATAAGCCTGGAAGGCGGGGGCTTTCGGCTCAGCTCGTCTGTTGGAACCCCAATGCAAAAGGCGCTGGACCCTTGGCCAGCTGATCTAACTAGTTTTCACAATGCTCTGTATACATAGCACTGGCCTGCTTGTTTGGAACTGCAATGCACCAAGAGAGTCCGGGATGTTTTAATAAGGATGGATGCAAGCACGAGTACTCTCAGTGCGGCTTACTACCGCAAGATTGAGACATGAACGACAGACACAACTGCACGGAAGTGGCCCCAAAGCTTCTGAACTGTTGACATGGGCTAAGAAACTAAAGCCCGTGTCCCTATGTGCGCCGAAGAGTGTAATTAATACATGCGACATTCATTCGAACAGAGCCCCGGCACTACCACCCTGCAATCATGTGGAACTTGGGAATACATGCATGCAGGGCTTGTGGGAAGCCTTCTGAATTCATGTAAACAGCTTGCAGCCTCGTCCCGCAGTGCATGCAAGAAGCCAAAACTGCATGAGGCGACTGCTGTCATGCCAGTAACCCAGCATGCGGGAGTTCGGAATTTGTGCTTGGGGGTGGCTGCTTGGAAACAATCGTAATAAGAATAGAAATACTAGTAATAATAATACTGATAATAATAGGGATAATAATAGTAGCAATGCTCAGGACAGGTTTGGGGATGTAGGCTTCAACTTTGGGGATGATTTTGCCGACGAATGCTTGTTGCACCTTATCTTATTGGTGGTGAGTACGGAAGAAAGGAATATAATCCCTACGTAACCCCTAGGTGACATAACTGGATCATATTGTCTTATTCCCTTCTAACCAGCAGTGAATTATTCGGAACATGATCGAATTTGTTTCCCGCGCTGTTCCGCTGCCTTTTCAGCGTATGAGCTATGGTCTAAATCTAAAGGGGTTTACATAAGGGATCATGTAGGGGAGGATTGTAGGGGCTATTAACGGGGATACAAGGAGTTTAGATTATAGCTCACATGATAGTTTTCTTAAATCAGGAGACCCCAATATACGCCCCAAAATATACTACAGTCCTTATTATGGGGACCCTCAAATATACTCACAAATACAGCTGTTTGGCATCCAAGGCTGTAGCCAAGTTTGTCCCGGCAGTCATGAGCCATCTCCTTCGCTAGCAGCTATTGCAGGTAGAACAAACACGCTGTAGGACACCATGCGCTGCACGAGCCTTCAAAACCGTCAGATCAAAGTGTTAGGCCCAAAGTCTTTTCGTTGAAAGTCATATACTTGGACCAGTGTTCCTCGGAATGAGACTGAAGAAGAAACAACTAAGTAAACCGAGAGATTTACCCATCAAGTCGAGGTATTCTGCACATGTCCATGCAGAGCTCGCCCTTCTCACCTACGGAAGGTAAGCCAGTCAGCTTCGTGTTTGATGTTCTTGTTCCCCAGATCAGGTCAACATGTGCAATGTTGGGCCGAAGTTCCCCCACATCTCGAATGCCAACCAATGCTGTGGCCTGAGCTGACGTCAGCTGTTCAACGTAAAGTTAGGACAGGATGTATCCCGTCGCAGTAGCTGACGGCAGAATTTCCATTCTCCCTCACACAATGGGTCATTTTAGGCAGAGGGTTACTGTCGAATCTAAGCTGTGGACACTCCACAAACCCTTCGAGCCCGAGCCCCCTTCATCCCAGTATTTGTTCACGACTCTCCCCTGCCTCTGTGAAGCAAGCATGCTTGTGGGCTTGCAATTGTACGTTGAAGGGGCTTCTGGTGTTGCAGGTAATCAACTGGTGTTCTGAATTTTTGTTTGGGGCGCCAACCTATAGGGTTGTGCAAGGCCTAGTAACGAAACCTTTCGATTCTGGCGCATGCTCTAGGGAGTACTTATAATGCAAGTTCCAGAGCTCGGCAGCTTTCAAGGCTGCGCGCTTTATTCCATGCAACTCCCCATGTAAACCTGCAGCCCCAAAGCCTTGCAATCTTTGATTCCGGCATCCCTCCTAGCTTTGAAGCAATGAGGGACGCTGGTACTCTGTGGACCAATATTGAGCAACAAGCCGTAGTCACCGGATGATTGATGGGTCTGAGAACGTTGATCTTGAAGTCCCTGTACTGTAGATGGCACACTATGCACACTGCTCTTTCAGCAAACGCACCATCACAGTTCCTTTTCTCCATGGCTCAGCGTTCCTAGTCCAAATGGATACCTCGCACTACACCCCCTAAAAGAGGCTCACGCTAACCCGCCAAGTCTTCACCTCATCCCAAACCCCCCAAAACCCCAAACAAACCCTAAACCTCAAGCAGTCACAAGGCCTTACCCCAGCGCTCTTTAGCGCCCTCTGCCGGCTGGGCTACCGGCTCTCTGAGGAAGCGGTGCTCAGCTTAGCTTGGACATGTCAAGGCATGCCTTAGTGTTCTTGTTGCGGGGATACAGAGAGAGCCAGAGAGAGCGACAGGGGGAGAGAGAGAG